AAACTTCTTGTATCCTTTATGATTTAATAATCTGAAATAGTTAAATTTTACTGAATATTTTATTTTATTACTAGTGAGGAATAACTCATTTTACTGATGAGCAAAAGTCATATACTGCATCACACACACACTCACACACACACACACTTTCACTTGTAAATTCTGAAATTATATGTAGAAGATCTGGATCAAAGAGAGAAATCCAATATTCTTTTTGTTGACCAGAAAGAGAACAATTAAAGAACTAAATCCAGTAGTGTCTGGATTTTATGAACATTAGCAATTAATGGTGAAGTACACCACAAACAAATTCACTGCTATAAATTGTGGTTATCTGTGTACCTTCAAATCAATCCTGACTCCTGGCAAGTGCCAGGAACCAGTCCCTGAGGTTTTCTTGGTGAGATTTCAGGTTTGCCTTCTCCCTAGGACTGAGAGAGAGAACCTGGCCCAGGATTACCCAACTGGCTTTATGTCTAAGGCAGGACTCGAACTCGTGGCCTCCTAGTTTCTAGTCTGGAATCTTAACCATTACGCCCAACTGGCTTTTATTATAAATTGTAGATGATCACAAATTATATGTATTAGATATATTATAATAATAAGATATTGAAAGCTGAATTAGTCCTCTAAATAAATGTGTAGATTCGTTTTCTTTTTTAACGCTGCAATGTTTAGATTTATCTTTTTCCAGTGTTGTACAGCTGTCCTTAAAATACTTCTGTGTTATCAGAAAAAATGTGTGTCTGATCAGAAAAATTATATATTTAGAGACAAAAAAAATCCAATTTAATTATCGATGCCATGTGCTTATGAACGGTTTGTTAAAGAGTAGTTGAATGGTTAAAATATTACTCAACTTCAAAGGTGTTTCTTGGAAAATACAAGCATATGTCCTGTTTCTGATGGTAAACATGGTCAGTTAGATCTCAGGCTGAAGTCTAGCCAAAGCAAATACTGCCGAGTGACATTTTCTTTTCAGAAGTGAATGGAAAAATGTCATGTATTTCTTCATTCATTTCTACGGGCACCACCCCTCACGGTTAGTTTATGTAATAAACTGATTAGTTCTTTCAAAATTCCAGTTGCTCAGAGGACTGAACTGTACTTCATTAAGGTGTTAAGCTGTAATGCTAAAATGAAAGATGTGTACTTGTATCACAGGAAATACGGAAATCTTAGTGAACTATAGGGAGTCCTCAGCTTACGACCAAAACTGAGCCCAAAATTTATGTTGCTGAGAAATTTGTTAAGTGAGTTTTGCCCCATTGTACGACTTTTCTTGCCACTGCTGTTAAGTGAATCACTGCAGTTAATTTAGTAACATGGTTGTTAAATGAGTCTGGTTTCTCCATTGACTTTGCTTGTCAGAAGGTCGCATAACGTGATCGCATGTCCCCACGACACTGCAACCATCATAAACATGAATCAGTTGCCAAGCTTCAGAATTTTGATCACGTGACCACGGGGAATGTTGCAATGGTCATAAGTGTGAAAAATGGTCATAGGTCACTTTTTCAGCACCGTTGTATCTTCATTTACAACACTAAATGAAGTGTTGTAAATCGAGGACTACCTGTATATAAAAAAGACTATTATTGAGAGTATCAACATCAAATAACTCCCCTTTTTTGAAAAGTTAGCCCTGTGTATAAAGTTTACTTTAATTTGGGAAACAAATAATTAACAGGCAAGATTTCTGATCTTTTTTCAATTCAAATTCAGTAGCTTGGTTGCTCCCTTTCATTTATTACACCCCTGTGCCTCCACCATAAAAGAAGGGGCAAATGGCAACGTTTATGTAGCAAAACACTGTTAGCAAATGTTCTGGATGCGTCTTTAGTTCAAAATCAACAAACAGCTGTAAGTGCAATTTCGTGGGGGGAACCCTCTCTCCTGTTGAGGTAGTACATCTATAATTTGTAGAGTATCTTTAAAATAATGCTTCAAAGATTTGGTATGGGTAAGGATCAGCAAGAGAACAGTACTTTAAAAAATGGTCTTAAATGATCTAATGGCAGTGTGGCTGTTTCAGTCTTTGTATTTGATTGCAGCTTGTTAGGTAAAATTTAACCGAATAAAAATTACCACGGATAGTTCTCGACTTAGACCAAGAACTGAACCCAAAATTTATGTTGCTAAATGAGACATTCGTTAAGTGAGTTTTGCCCCATTTTACGACCTTTCTTGCTATAATTGTTAAGTGAATCATTGCAGTTGTTAAGTTAGTCACACAGTTATTAAACGAATCTGGCTTCCTCGTTGACTTTGCTTGTCAGAAGGTGTCAAAAGGAGAATCTGTGAGCCAGAGACACTGCAATGATTCACTTAACAACTATAAATATGAAGCACTTGCCAAGCATCTGGATTCCAATCATATGACCACGGGGATGCTACAATGGTCATAAGTGTGAAAAATGGTCATAAATCACTTGTTTCAGTGCTGTTGTAACTTGGAACAGTCACTAAATGAACTGTTGTAAGTCGAGGACTACCTGTACCTCAAATAGCAATATCCAAAGCTACAAGCTGATCAATACTGGGGGGCCCTTTTCATGAAAAGCAAACATGGTCCAGCTCTTATTGGATCATCCTTGCGCCCTCCCTTTTATTGGTTGTGGCTGTGAATTTCCTAATAACTCATCAAAAAAGAATGTGCAAATTGCACAATTCTGCAAACAGTTAAACGCTGGACTGTGTTTCTTCTTCTCTTTTTGCTTGTAGTAGTATGTAAATTATTTCTATACTGATAATGGAATCAATCAAAGAACATATTGACATTTTTTCTGAAGAAATATTTGTCCAGTTCTTAACAGTGCTTAGTATAGTATCCCTTTTTAATAATCTCTATTCCTTATCCCATAGAGGAGTTTTTGTTCTGCTAATGTCATAGAATTTCAGAAGTTTTTAGCCTATTCTGCAGCATTCTTGATCTGCAGAATATTCATTTGCATTGGAAAATCCGATGTTAGGCAAATGGTGCCATTGCTTAGAGCAGGGTTCCCGAACCCCCGAGCCACAGGCCACTACCAGGCCTTGAGCCTTTTGGAACTGGGCTGCGGAAGTGGCGGGCGAGAGTGCTCCATTTGAGCAAGTGGCGGCCACGCATGCCCACCACTCACACAAATGTAGCTGTACATGCCCATGCACATGCTTGCCTGCCTGCATGCTGAACAATCCCCTCTCCCCACCCCCCACCCCAGTCCACAATGCCAAAAAGGTTTGGGAACTCTGGCTTAGAGCCTGAGTTTGAAGGATCCCACCAATTCTGTTATTGGAAATGCAGCCTATGGAATCTTCTCCTAAAACTTAGTACGGTAGGTGTTTTGTTTAGGTATATGCCACTTAAAGATGATTAAGATAAAAGCAAGTTCTTTTCATCCTGCACCATATTTAACAGTTGCAGTCTTTTAAATATAATTAGCTATTAAACAGCAATTAACTGAAGGAAAATCCCACTCAGCTCGGTAATTATTTTTGTAACAAAGTTTATTTCACTAATTTAAGATATAATTTCTGTACTTCCACTTCATCTAGTTTTAAAGGATGAAGTTTAACATTGCCCACCTGATTTTAAAGTCCGCTGATTGGACTTTCTGCTTTTTTTGCACCCTCCAAATGGGTCTAAGACAACTCACCACAGCAAACTCGCCACGGGACAATTTCCTGCAGAACAAGAGTTACACTAACCTTGAAGAAATGGTGATATATAGTAATTAAAGAAACGATGCCAAAAGGGGGACAAAATGAAATGTGAATGACAAAAATTATAATATGTTTTAAATCATTTTAAATAATTAACTTGAATTGTTGAATTGTTTCATGGCAAGTTGTCCCACAGCAAGCTGGCCATGGCGAATTGTCCTATTCCGCCTAAAAATCTGCTCTAAGGGGATTGGACCATTGGAGCATATTTCAGAATGCAAGATGGAGTTGCATCTCCATCTTTGGTGTGCCACAGATTGAAACACTTTCATCAGCAGAAAATCATCATTAGATTTCGCCTATTGTGAAAAGGAAAACATAAAGACTATGCAATGTGATATTACTGTAGGACAAAACTTTATATGTGATGAAAACGAATTCATCATCTTAAATTTTATCCCTCTTTTAATGGGGCTGAGGAACACTAAACACATGATGTAAAATCCGATGTAATAAATTAGGAGATACATAATTTACATTTGTCCCAATTAAGTTCAAACATTTATTCAAGCCCAGACTTCTTTTTTTCAAGGGAGAGTTAGAAATGCCAAAAACATTGTATAATGATCAATCAGTGAGTCAGCCAGTCTTAAAACAGTATAAAATATAAAACATTTAAAATCATTCCCAGGGGGTAACAATTTAAGATATGGCATAACATATTAATAATTAATTACAAGGATTACTGCATAGGATAATAGGACTTTATAACACTAAGATCTAATTATAAAAATTATGCTTCAGTGATTAAAAAAAACTATAAAATATAGCACTGGTACTATATGGTGCTATAAACAAACAGCATAAAATTAATGAAATAAATTATAATATTATGGAGACTGCTGTAAAATTAATACACGCATTCAGAAATATCCTGATTTAATCTTCCTCCAGGAAACTCATCTAAAATAGTCAATATACCAGATTATAATATAATATGTATGTGAGAATAATTCTTTATCACAAAAAAATAGGTAGGTGCTGATAAGTAACAGAGCCTAAGCATTCAATTAACAGGTGCAGTTGAGGAACAGTTTCCCATTTGTGGTTTAAAAAAACCCCAACCTTCGGCACATGTAAACTGCAAACGAAATATCTCTGCAAAAGAAATATTTCTGTAAGATCTTTTGGATTTCTCAATAAGGAAGTTGAAAAGGGCTCTTTTTTTTTCCTAAGGAAGGACCTCCAAAACTATTTCTTATTTGATGAATAAATCTTTTATGAAATCATATGAATTGGATAAAACAACTCATTTGATCCTGTAGTGTATTTGCTTACCATATACAAATATAGCTATGTTTGGACAGAAGGTAATTCAATTGTTAATGAAATGCTTGTTCACTTTTTCAAAATAACAAACCCTATTCTGAAACCGATTGTATCTTTCTTTTTCAAACACTGTGTGTAAAATAATTCAATATGATTAACATCTTTGTTTCCGATCAGTCAGTTTCTTGTCTTTTGAAAAACATCAGTACTATGCCCAAAAATGTCATTTCAGCCCTTAAGAGTTTCAGTAATAACTTGTGTGTTAAATATACTTTTGAAACTTCTCAGGCAATGGCAGGTGGCTAAACAATCAAAATGCTCTTACCAAACAGTCGTTTTTAAGATAAAAGAATTACAGCAAAAATACTCATGGTCAGAGCCCTGCTGATGGAATGTGAAAAACCTGATAGGCTTTTGAAGAGAACCCCAGTTTGCAGGCAAACCCCTGAAAAAAATTAATGTACATGTTCCTCTGTTTTATTGGTAATTTTCATTTGAGGCAATGAAGGTCCCTAAACTATCTTGGGACATGAGGTGCCTTTTCTTTTTCTATCCCTAGTTAACACGAGACACCTTGCAGTTTCAGAGCATCTGCTTATTTCCATGCAACCTTGTCACGGGATGTTACCTCAGAGATCAGATCTCTCTGGTTTTGGCAACATTAAGTGGTATCCAGTGGTGGGATTCAAATATGTGAACAACCGGTTCTCTGTGTGGATGCCACTTCCGGAAGTCCATTTTGGGCCTGGGCAACAAAAAATTAGCTACTGGTTCTGCCGAAGTGGTGCGAACCGGCTGAATCTCACCACTGGTGGTATCCCAAATCAGCCTGGGGCAATTGTCTTTACAGGCAGAGCTCCTTTTTTCTTTTTCTTTTCTTTCTGTTTGGTAGAGTTTAAGAAGAAGAAACACTAGTAGATGTTTTAAGTTTTGTTCTGAGTTAAGCCATTGTTTTAACTGACAAAATTCATCGTATTTTTTCATTTTCTGACTTTAGCAGGATCTGCTTTTTCCTGCCTGGCTCCGCTTTTCCCCCACCGGGAGACCACCAAGAGTTTACAGGTGCTTTGCTGAGGCAGCAGCGTTGTCCACAGGTTTTAATGGGAGGTTTCTTCCCTGAGCAAACATAGGAAGGTCGTTGCTGTCTTTTCATTCATGGAAACTGGTGTTTAGAAATATCTGTCTGTTCCTCCTTCCTCTGTCAACCGCCAACGAACCCAAATTCTAACTGTCCCAACATTCAATCCTCTTTCTTCAGACCTTCTCCCTTTTCTTTCTTCAAAGGAGAAAGAATTTAGCCCTTAATTATGATCAGCCACAACACTGGCTGTGCTCTATTCTTCATTACTCAATTGCCTAAGAAATACAGGTAGTCCTTGACTTACAAAAGTTTGTTTAGGGATTGTTCAAAGTTACGATGGCACTGAAAAATGTGACTTATGACCACTTTTCACATCTATTACCTTTGCAGCCATCCCCACGATCAGCCTGGCAAGTGGTTCATATTTATGTCCATTGTTGTGTCCAAGGTCATGTGATCACCTTTTGCAACCTTCTGACAAGCAAAACTGATGGGGAAGCCAGATTCACTTAACAACTGGGTTACTAATTTATCAACTGCAGTGATTCAGTTAACAACTGTGGCAAAAAAGGTGGTAAAATGGGGCAAAACTCACTTAACAACTCAACTTTGAGCTCAATGTGGTCGTAAGTCAAGGACTACCTGTACTGCGCCAATGTATTGTTTCAGGGCTTTGCATGCCTTACTCCAGAGTTTTATGAATTATAGGTGGTGAGCATTTCTTAGTCTTATGACAAGGGTTGGTAAATTGAGGCCTATCCCTACAGACACACACACACACACACACCATTTTTGGCAGTCTCTGAGGTTACCTTTTTAGTAGGATTGTTCCCCAAGCCAACAGCTCAGTTTTCTACATTTGAAGTAACAAATAGATGAAAACTATAGTATAAACAGTAAAACAAAGGTCAGTTTTAAAAATGTGTGCCAACTATCTCCCATAAAACCTGGAGAAATGACAACCACAAGAACAATAACAACAACAGAGAAAATCCTATTCTCACCTATTTATGTGACATGGTATTACATGATTTCCATGATGACTACAGTCCTTGCTCTCTTTCTCCCATCTTTCTTTAAGGAAAATTGAGGTTCTTCATTTGTTGCTGAACTACATCTCCCAGGATCCCTTTCCATCCTCCATTATGGGGTGAGGGCTGATAGTTCAGCAGCATCTTTAAGGCCATAAGTTCCTTGTTCCTGGTGCCCACACAGTAGAAGGAAAACAGAAAAAGGGCAAATCAAGTTCACGAGTACTGCTTGTTTGGCTTCTCTCTATGCAGTGGATGGATTGTGTTCTGATCTAAATTATGCCCTGACTAGCACAATGTGCTCTTCAGATTAAGGATGGTTATGTACCATGGCTTCTTTTCCTTCTAGCTAAACATCTAAAGTGCCCAACATTCGATATATGGGTAACAACAGTAGGAAAGCTAGTAAAAAGCACAGGTTTAAAATAGTTTAATCCTGCTTGGGTTGCTTGTGTTACCTAGCCTATTTATTTTGCAAGGAAGAGAAACTGGTCATTGTGTGAAAGAATACTCATTCTTGCCCTTCCTATCAAGTCTTCACCTTCCTCAGTTAACAACAAAATAAATGTAAGGCTTCTGCTCTTCTTCTTTTTTCCAGAGCTGTGGAAATGCCAATTCAGTGACTTTGCCAGAGACATTATTGTTCGTTTCAACTCTTGATGGGAGTTTACATGCAGTCAGCAAGAGAACAGGGTCAATTAAATGGACTTTAAAGGAAGGTGAGTAGAAGAGAGGCTAATATTGCCCTTCTCTAAATTAACTGTGGTAATTGCAAAGTTAACATATGTCGGAATCAGTTTTGTTTTTTGTTTTTAAAAAATCATATTCTGAGAAGCCTATGCATGGTTGCTTATTATTTGGTTGTGACTCTATGATTTCAATGAGACTTACAGTATTTCCAAGTTAGACATGATTAAGAGAATAAACCTAGACATGACCATTCAAAGAAACTACTGCTGAATTCAAGTGGCATGAGTACAGTGCTTGCCCAATGTACCAATTTCTCAGGCCTGTTTATCTTCAGGACTCCTAGAAAACTGTTTTTTAATAGTTGCCTTCAAAGTCTAATGTCAGATTACTTAAAAAGGTGGTAGCATAATTGTGGGCTCAGCATCTAGGATAGGCGGGGAAAGACTCATGCCATCAGAAAGCTCTTAATTAAAGTGTGGCCTAATTTTGATATGAAATTTAAGCTGTTTCCAGGCTCTGGGTGGACTTTTCCAAAACTTCAGAGTTTTCTTCCCCTTTTGCAATGACCGCATGCTATTATTCATCCTGATAAACTATACTATATATCCAGACTGGTTATTTCCCAACAAAACTGTGAGAAAAATGCCATGTGCCACAATACTTTTTTTTCCTCAGATAGAAATAGTTTTATCTGTAATGGATAGGTAGATCTGTTCTCATAAGTAAACAGACTTTTCGTACAAATAAAAGGACTGGTTAGAATAAGTTGTTAATGAGTTGCAAAATATGGAGAACCATATATTTGGCAATCCCATTCTCTCTATATGTTTTTGTGAATGGGAAATGTGTTTTAAGTGGCAGTTAGAATGTGTAGTGATCATGCAGATGCTCTAGACCAGTGGTTCTCAACCTTCCTAATGCCGCGACCCTTTAATACAGTTCCTCATGTTGTGGTGACCCCCAACCCCCCATCCAGCTGGCTGGGGAGAGGGGGCAGGAAGGCCGCTCCGCCGTCTCCGCCCAGCCTGGTTGGAGAAGCACCATTCCTCTCCCTCTTTCTCTCTTTCTCTCTCTCTTTCCTCTCTCTCTTTCTCTCTTTCTCTCTCTTTCTTTCTTCTCTTTCTCTTTCTCTTTCTCTTTCCTCTCTCTCTTTCTCTCTCTCTCTTTCTCTGTTTCCTCTCTCTGTTTCCTCTCTCTTTTCCTCTGTTTCTCTCTCTTTCCTCTCTCTCTTTCTCTCTCTCTCTTACGGCAGCATTATCGAGGGTCCCTGCCGCCCCTGGCCCAGCCTCCGCCACGTTTCCTCTCTGTTTCCTCTCCTTCCTTTCTCTTTCTCTCTCTTTCCTCTCTCTCTCTCTTTCTCTCTCTCTTTCCTCTCTCTTTTCCTCTGTTTCTCTCTCTTTCCTTTCTCTCTTTCTCTCTCTCTCTTACGGCAGCATCGTCGGGAGTCCCCACCGTCCCTGGCCCAGCCTCCGCCCCGGCCCAGCCTCCGCCACGTCCTTAGCCGAACGGGTGGAGAGGGGGAGCAGGATGGGAGGCAGCGGCTCCGGTGGCGGTGGTGGCTACTGCTGCATCGTCGGGGGTCCCAGCCACCCCCAGCCCAGCCGCCGCCCCCACAGGGACTCCGTGCTGCCCGGCCTCGTCCTCCGTCTATCGATGGAGCCGCGGTGGGGGCTGGTGCCACGTGGCCCACCAGCCCCTCCGCCAGCCCAGCTGCTCCCCCCCAGGCACCCCTCTTCCTCCCGGTGCCCGCCCAAGCTGCCTTGGGGGCAGCAGGAGGAACAAGGAGAGGAGAAGGGCGAGAAAATCGCTGCCATCACCCCAGCCGGGACTCCGCGCTGCCCAGCCTCGCCCTCCGCCCATCCGATGGAGCCGCGGTGGGGGCTGGTGCTGCACGGCCCACCAGCCCCTCTGCCAGCCCAGCTGCTCCCCCCCCAGGCACCCCTCTTGCCCCAGTGCCCGCCCGAGCCACCTTGGGGGCAGCAGGAGGAAGAATGGGAGGAGGAAGAGGAGGGCAAGGAAGCTGCCGTCAGTGCTGGGCCCCAGGAGGCGGCTCTCCTCTCCTACCTCCTTCTTCCTTCCCGGCAGCCTGGACTCCAGCGCGCCTTCCTGGCCAGCGGGTCCAATGGTCGGGCTGGCTGGGGATCGCAGGGGCTGGTCTCCCTTGGGCCGCGGCTTGCGGGAGGGCTGGCCTGCTCAGCGGAGCCTCCAGCGGGCCGCTCCCAGCAGGGATCCTGGGGCTTCCCCGGGCGGCTCCAAGGCCACGAGGCCCTGGCTGCACTTCTCCCAGGGGGTTGGGCACCCGGGCGCAGGGTCAATCAGGAGCCCTGCAGGAGGTAAGTCCACCTGAGAGAGAGAGAGAGAGCAGGGAAGTGAAAGTGCCTCTCTGTCTCTCTCTCTGCAAATGGTGGAAGAGGCCGTGCGGAGACGGATGTGGAGTGGTGTCTCGGTTCCTAAGCCCATCGGAAATATAGGCGACCCCTGTGAAAGGGTCGTTCGACCCCCAAAAGGGTCGCGACCCACAGGTTGAGAACCGCTGCTCTAGACTACAAAAACAATTGAGCTCCTATTCAAGGGATTGTCGCACAGATGAAGTTTACATTGAAGTCTACCCATGGCTGTCAGTCCATAATTGTTTGGGAATGTGAAAGGACACTTCAGTCAGCTGGATATGCGTATTGATAAATTTCATAGAAAAGAGGGATATGCATGTGTCTGAGTGAGTGGGAGGGTATAAGAGAGAAAAACCTTCTTGTTGTTGTTGTTGGCAATCCTGTTTTTATCAGTAGCCCCACGAAAAAGTGCTGCTGAGTTTTGCCCAAACCAGTCCCTTAGATTTTGAAGCAATGATGTTCTTCTTCTGCCTGGACCTCGTTTGCCTTCAATCTTTCCCTGGAGGATTATTTTATTTTATTTTATTATGGTTTTAAATGAACAACAAAAATCTAATGCTATAAATCTGACCTTCACATCTCTGCATTTCCCTAAATCTGTCCAGTGCTATTTTGCAGAGCACATGTGGGTGAGGGAGACTGTGGAGAGGAAGAAAACTACTATTCAATTGTTGAGGTCTGTTAAATGGATACAACCCTAAAGTAGAAAGTAAGGATACAATTATTCAAAAATAGGTAATACAGGTAATCCTTGGCTTATGACCAGAGTGAGGCCAAAATTTCTGTTGCTAAGCAAGGCAGTGGTTAAGTGAGTTTTGCCCTATTTATGATCTTTTTTGGCACAATTGTTAAATGAATCACTGTAGTTTTTAAGTTAGCAATATGATTGTTAAATGAATCTGGCTTCACTATTAACTATGCTTCTCAGAAGTCACAAAAGGTAATCGTATGATTCCAGGACATGCAACCATCATAAATACAAGTCAGTTGCCAAACATCCAAATTTTGATCACGTGACCATAGGGATGGTGAAATAGTTGATAAGTGTGGAAAACAGTCATAAATCACTTTTTTCAGTGCCGTTGTAACTTTGAATGGTCACTAAAGTCGAGGTCTACCTGTACTGACTTTAATGATCCTTAGTTTCAGATAAGTTAATTTGAAATTGAAGGCTATGTAAAACTGTGTATTGTAATTTGCACATTACTTCTCATCTGGAAATACATTATATTTTAAGTCATTTTTTTCCAATACAAATTCATTATAAGGCTAATGCACCACAACCAAAATTTTCTTCATTAACATTTATGGCTTTAAAAAAAACCACCCAAAATTGCCAGCTTATAAATAGGATAGGAGTATGGCTGTTCCAGATATTTTTATCCTTCCAGTTCCTTGCCATCAACCTTGTGTACCTGCTCTTAAGGCATGAGAATTAAAGTTTAAAGCATTTGATACAGGCATTATAGAAATATTTATTAGCACAGTCTCAGTGTACTGCTAAAAACTATTTAATAATTTTGAGTATCAAGCTGCTCTATTGAGTATTGATAAGTGAACTAGCATACTCTTGTTTACAAAGCCAAAATAAATAATCATGCTGTCATCTCTTCTTCCAGAAGTAATTCTCCTGGAAATAGCTGGATTTGTAAGATAATAACGGAAATAGCTTAATTTGTTAGATAGTATATTACTTACTGATCTGCTTACTATACAGTGATGTAATTTGGATATTCCTGGTTTTAATTCTGTGCTGATAAAGGATAAGAAGCTAGAGATTCCACTGAGAAAACCTCTTGAACTTATTGTTAACAAGGATACTAAACGCGCATTGCAATTTGCAATATCTTGAAGAGGTAGAAAATTGCTGCTAATTTGACTTTTTGCATATGGATATGGGACTTTTTGCCTCTTGTGCCAAAATAACGTAATTAGCTTTGAGCTGAGGAAAGGTGAGCATGAGTGACCTTGAGACAATAGTAAGCATCTTACATCAAGGGCAGTAAGAGTTTGGAAGTGAAATTCCCCCTCTCCCCCCCCCCCCAAGCTTTTGTAAGATCTGAAGCATTTGCCAAAATGAGGAAAACACTCTCTCCCCTTTTGTCCATGTGTGGTAATGTCACAGTGCACTTTCAAAAAAGGGCAGAGTTTATTATGTAGTGTTCATTGTTTGCCTCACACCACCCCAGCCTGGTAGCCCACTGGGCTCCAAGCAGTCTTCCAGAAAACCTGAAGGCACAGAGAAAGGTTTGAAAGAAACAACTAGACACAGTGCTTGCAACAAGAACAGATGAAACAACAGCAGTAGACACCTTCAATAGTGGTCTGTGAGAATGTCTTTGAAAGAGGAGAGTAGGAGGAACCACAGAGTCAGATAAGAGGCAGATAAGAGGCAGCTTAGCCGCAGAAGCAATGGGGGCATGGCCAACCCCTCAGAGGGATCATCCCTAGTTTCTTGAGCTGCAAAGGTGGAGAGATGGAGAGATAGTCCTCGACTTGTCACCACAATTGAGCCCCAAATTTCTGTTGTTAAGTAAGACATTTATGTGAGTTTTGCCCCATTTTACGACCTTTCTTGCCTCAGTTTTTCCCAGTGAATCACTGAAGTCGTTAAGCTAGTCATCCAGCTGTTAAGTGAA